TCCCGCAAACTTTAATAAAGTATTTGACACACAGCTGGTGCTAAATAAATGCTGGATTACTGCTGGGACCAAAAGTCAGGGAAACTCAATCCTGTGTTTATTTCACTTAAGAGGTTCTACTATAGCCTTAGGCAGCACTGGTGGGGGTGGGGTGGGGAGAGGTAGATACTGGAAAGATAATACTTATCTTCACTTTGGACATTTTTTGAAGTACTGAGTGAAAGTTTCTATATATTAAAAGATTTTAAAATACTTCAAAACAAGAACTCAATGCCAGAAATTCACTTGGAATCAAAAGCAGCTTGCCACTGGCAAGTTTTGCTTAAACCTATTACATGTACACATTGAAAGAGAATCCAGGGCCTTCATGTATTTCCCATCAGATAAAATTTATAGAGGAAAAAAAAATTGTCAGCAAAGTTAAGAGCTAACCTGCACAAATCTCTTACTAGAGCAAAGTCCGGGAGTATCTCGCTCAAAGCAATACATGGTGAAATAGAAATCATTTTCTCCAGTTCTACCTCCACTTTCAACTCCTTCCTTAAAAACAAGGAGGAGACTTTGCCAGGAATAAGGAGAAAGTGGATTTGGTTAGAAAGGTATCAAGTATTTGCATGTAGGAGCTGTTTAATGGGATCGTTTTAATTTAAAAACGATCTGAATCAGCTGTGATAATTTCTATTTTAAATTAAGAATATGCAAATAGTATCAGAAGTAAGTCATGGATTTGTTGGACCTATTCTCATTTGCAGCAATAGGTCTGTCTAGGAATTGCGACAAACTTTAACCCTGCAAATGTTGGCCAAAACCCAATGTCTACACAGTTACACATCCTGTAGAGTGGATCCATTTACCTCACTGGTCAGCAGGGCTGTAAGTTGTGGGTGAGAGTAATGGATGGAACATTTCACAAGAAAATGACCTCAACCTCCAGCTCACTGCTGTGGCTCTGAGCTGGGGACTTTTTGCCTTTTTCAAAGGGAAGCTGCTGCTTCAGCATCCTCTCCAGGAGCCTCTGGCACTATTTCAGGCTGTGTGTCTGGGGAACCCTGTGCACATCACAATGATGGAAGCCAAGTGCTGGCCCACAGGCACTGAGGACTGTTTGTTCACGGGAGGGTTTGAGCAGAGCCCTGGTGTTACATAGTTCAAGGGTGCCTTGGAGAAAACCGATGCTGCTGGGGGTGGGGGGTGGGGGGGTGCCAAAGGCTCAAGTTCTTTCTCAGTTGCTATTCCATAGCCCTCTAATGCCTTATGGATATTAGCCAATAGTTTTTACTTGGGTGTTTTTCTCTCTTTAATTCTTCGATTTAGTGTGATTTTGGATAGTTTAAATAAAAGGGTTTTCATATATATATTTTTTTTAAGTAGGGCTATGGTGTATACTATTCTTGGGGGCGGGTATTTTATTAATGCATGCAGTATATGTTCTTGGTAAAAAACAAAATTAAACTCTTTCACTGTTTTTGACCTGCCAGCTGTAGATGGCATTTAGGTGTTTTATGTGGTGACTCAGTTTCTTGTAGGATAGCTGACAACTGCTCATTGAGGCTTTTTTTCTTTCTTTTTTTAAAAATATATATTTTTAAATTTTAGGTTGCAGTGGGACACAATACCTTTATTTTATTTATTTATTTTTATGTGTTGCTGAGGATAGAACCCAGGGCCTTGCACGTGCTAGGTAAGCGCTCTACCGCTGAGCCACAACTCCAGCCCCTCTTTTTCATTTTCAATGGTAGGGATAAAAAGGCTAGTTACTCAATGCCTTAGAACACTTTGGGTTAAAATTCCTAAAATGAAGGCTTAAGGATCCTGAAAAATTGTGGCTAGCCATATTACCTATTGACTTAGGAATGTGGAAAAAGTGATATTCTCAGTTCTATGCTAATATCAACAATAATTCTTTATTGAGCAACAAGTTTATAAAACAAACTGTTCTTTAGTCTGTGGTAATTATTTTCTGACAGGCATTTAGATACGTTCTGGGTCTTTGTGTGTGTGTCATTTTTCAGACTTACATAGGATATTGTAGAAGATGTTAGAATTTAAAACACCACATTGTGTTGGCACATAAATCTTGATAGTCAAATGGCTAATCCATGATTTGAATTTAAGATGGATCATCTGAAATAAATTGCCCTTTTTGTCATTATATTGCCTTCCTAAGAGCAAATCCTACATCTAACTGCATGAGGTCTCTAACCTGAAGCTTTCCTGAATTGCCTTTCCACATTAAAAAATAAAGGCTGAAGTATAATACTTGGAACCATATCCTGCTAGGTCTGAGACCTGAATTTGTACTTCTGATTTCAGAAAAACTTTAGAAAGTTAAATGAAGTTGAGGGGTGGTGCGGGAGACATTTTATGTATTGGGAGGTCCCCTGGGTCTCAGGCTTTGAGAGAGTTGAATTGCAGGGGAGATGAATATAGAGAGTCAAACCTTAGAGATATGAGAGGAGGACTCCTGGCTTCATATGACTGAAAAGATGATAGTGAACACTTCCTGCACAATGCTATACCCATCTACTAACTATGGACAACTCAACTGACTATAAAATAAGTTAATTTCCTCTTACAATTTCCTATATCCCTATTTTATGTAGCAGAAGGAGGAAAAAAAAACAAAGCCATGGAGTAGAGGTACCTATGGCAATTAGGTAATGCTATACTTACATATGGAAAGGATTCAGTAAATTGAAAATGGTTGCATTACAGCCATAGACTGAAACATTTGAGATCTTAGGTTGTGGGACTACAAGGGACTTTTCTATGTGTGTAATATTTTACTTTTCAATAGGAAGCATGTAATATTTTTATAGCCTTATAATCATGGAAAAACTATAGTCTTTTAAACTTACAATTTAAATTATCTTTAAGGTTGTTCCTTCTGTTATGGTTTTAAAAAAAAGCTTCAATCTTAAATTTTAACCAGGCAAGGTTTAGGTGGTTGTTCATCCACCTAAAATATGTATTTACAGAGATACAGATTAGTGTGAAGGGGGCAGGTGGGGGGGGGTGCACAGAATAAAAGAGACAAAACCTACAGTACTCAAAGTGAAGAGCAAACAGTTCAAGAATTCTAGATAACAAGCCACGTGGCACATGTAACAAATAGTTTGAAAGTTACTGTAACCTTTACAAATTTTCTGTAAAAACCTGTCTGGAAAGTCCCAGGATCCTGAAGGTTGGTCCATGAAATTCTTTGTTATGCCACTGTTAATTTAAGCGCAGACTCTCTTCTTCATCAATATTGATAGATTGGAGGGCTCCCGAAAGGGACCCCACAACTTCATGTAAGCTTTTAAGTGTTTTTCTTTGAATGACAAAGTTTTATAAGATGGATAAGATGGACCCTTGGGACTTTGGGTTTTCTTTCCTTTGGAATGGCTTGTTTAATTCCATGCTAAAGCGTGATCCATTTATGTTAAGGGAGGAGTGAACCATGGTCCCCTGGGTTGGCCCTTATAAACAGAACCATTTTGCCTACATTGCCTTTAGATATGGTCTTTTGTGTTTTACCGCTTTTGTAGTTTAGTCTGCACATGGTGGGGTAGAAACACCCTTTCCAGACTTTTGTCCTTGGCCTCACATCATCCTGGTCTTGTGCAATTCCACAAAGGAAGCACGTATTCAGGACATGTGTGAACTCCTCTTACTCTCTGGTTCATTCACGTCGTTGCTCCTTTAAGATAACTCTTAGGGTAACTCTTTATGTGAATAGGCAGCACAGTACATTGTCAAACTCTTAGGCGTTTGGACCTAAAAGCACAATGTTTTGTTTATGTTCACCCCCCAATTTAGAAATCTGCTACTTAGCGGGGTGGGCTAGGTACTGAGAGAGTCTGCTTTTGAAAGAAATGTTCTTATTCCCCCAACTTAGCTCCCTTAAAGTAAGTCCTAACCCCCAGAAAGCGAACCTCATAAACCCTAAAACATAAACCCTCAGAAACGATTTTGCGGGTCTTCAATAACCTCGTTCAAGCCTAGGAGTGCAAACTAGGAGGCTCTGGCAGTCCCGGAGACCCAGAGGGCCAACCGCTCGGCTGGATGTGCAGGGTCCCCGCGGGGCAGGTGCGCGATCGCACGCGCCTGCGCGTCGGGTCCCCCCTGAGCCCCGCCTGAACCCCACGGCGACCCCGGGCGGCGGGCTGCGGGTGCTCCACGCCGGGTTTTCCGCCGCTCTCCTCCTTCAGACAGCCCCAAAGCAGCCCTACAGACACGCTAGCAACCGCGCCTCCCCGGCTGCGCTTCAAAGAGAGTGGCGCCCGGCTGCACGGGGTGATGCCACGGCGAGGTGGCGGGGCTGCGGGGAAGGACACGGCGGGTGACACGGACAGGCTTTTGCAATTCGGAGTCTTTTTGTAAGGGAGTTGAGGAGGAGCCAGACAGTGCCGAGGGGCGTGAAGGGGAGAGTTCCCGGAAAGCCGCGGCTATGGAGCCGCGCTGCGCCCGCCGCCTGAGGACTTGAGAAAGAAAACAGGAAACGTGGTGGCCGCGCACCCGGCCACGGCTGATTCATTCGCTTCAAGTGCCGAGCATAAGGCTTGGCAGGCGGGGCGGGCGCGGGGCCGGGGACCGAGGAGACCCGGCAGTGGACCCGACGTCGTTCTGCGGGACGGCTGCTAGTCGTGCGCGCCATCCCTTTGCCATCCTCCAGAACTAGGACTAATACCCGCCGCGCTGTCCAAAAGTCGCATCGTGGTTATTCCACCTCCGTTCCCGTAATAAAAGTTGGCTTGTCGCTCTTCGCACGCCCTCCCTGGGGGCCTACCCGCGACGTCAAGCTGGAGAAACTGAGCCTTCCAGTCGCGAACGGCCCCGCGGGTGGAGACTCAGCCCCCATCGAGCTGCCGGGTTTGGCAATATGAAGGAGCAGCCCTCATGTGCAGGCACCGGGCATCCGAGCATGGCGGGGTATGGCAGGATGGCCCCCTTTGAACTCGCTGGCGGCCCAGTGAAGCGCTTGAGAACTGAGTCCCCCTTTCCCTATCTCTTCGCAGAGGAGGCCTACCAGAAACTGGCCAGCGAGACCCTGGAGGAACTGGATTGGTGTCTGGACCAACTAGAGACCCTGCAGACCAGGCACTCTGTCAGTGAGATGGCCTCCAACAAGGTAAGTCCCTGCTCTACTGTCATTGATGCCCCTAGACTGCTGATTCCCACGCTGGTGAAGCACCAGTCCCTGTGGCCCCAGGAAATACAAGGAGATATTTGTCATGCTCACTGCATGTTAGCTATTATGCTTTAGAAGGGAGGTTCTTGTTTCCATGCCTTCCTTCTCACTTTCACTCACTATAGGTAAATTACACATTTTGCAAAATCAACTTTGACATAGTTTGATCAAATATCCAGGACACAGGGTTCCTAAGTGACATTTTGCCCTTGCAACGAGAAACCCAGTAGGGTCTGTTGGCCTTGCATATTTAAAGGTATTCTTGAGATTCCTGGTTGGAAATAAGAGTTGGTGGATGTCAATGAAATCACTTGGGTCTCACCACCTACTGCACTCAAACTCAGAACTTGGAACCTTAACCCTCATTTATCTAGTTGTCAGGATACCCTGTTAGACCTTTGCCTTTATATATTCTGTTGGCCATACACATTCATAGTTAGAAGCTTCATTATGATCATTGCCTTTTCTTTTGATCTTGAAGAAGACCAGATTTCCGAGGTCATTTAGTTTCAAGGAGGTTTCAGCTGGACATTTGTGCCATATGTACAAAAGTGCTGGTCTTGGCAGTTAATGGAATTTGGGGAACTGATAAGTAATCTTCAGTATGAAATAGCCATAAAATAGCCTGGAAGTTAAGGTAGAGTATTTTCAGTTTTGCTGCATTTTAAAAAAATAAGCCCTGTTCTTTTTGTCTATAGTTATGCAAGGAAATAAATTGGATTATGTGTGTTTTAATGATTGACTGGCTGAAGGGGCAGGAGAGGAGGCATGTGCATGTTGGATGCAGATATCTGAGGGATGCAGCTAGTAAGGACTGGTAATATTGTGTTCAATTAGTAATACTTGTTTCTTAAAGATACTTATGTGTTTTAGCCACCCATTTATTTGCAAGGTCAGGAAGGTGATGGCCATTTTACTCTTCATGTGTACATGTATTTCAGTGAGTGATGCTTTTTTTTTTAGCTTACTATAGTTTTTATCCCACCTGTTTTTTCCTCATGCAGTTTTTACAAAAACTGTAGCATCACAGATACTTGTCTTATCTGTTAACATTTCTTATATAGATAGCATTGCTGTTTAAGTAAAAAGTCGGCTTCAAGCAAATAAAAGGGGTCCCCAGCCACTGCTTGAAGTTAGTAACCTGCCCATATGCATATTGACCTACCCATGTATACACTGATGATCAAATCAGGTTTTTTATTATATAAATTTGGGTCTCATTTCTAAATTTGGCATGGCTTCTCTTAGAATTGCTTTCTTATTGGGACTCTTAATTCCTGTAGTAGCATTAGATGCCATTGTTCTCATGTGGCTTAAAAAAAAATCTTATTTTTATAAACTAGAAATAGAGATTGTTTTTCTTTTTCATAATTTGATTCATAATAACATTCGTAATAACAGGAGATGTATGCCAAGTATCTCCAGTGTCCTAAATGCTGAGTGAGAGCATTCTGCACTGGACCTGATCTTAATTCTTTGTCTGTTAGATTGATTCTATGTAGTAAAAGGCAGAACAAAATTTGGTTATCTAGTGAGATGCATGCATTTATTTATGTTTTTGAGATGATTTGACAGTACTTTTAAAGCAAAATGTACCTGAAAAGCTAGTTCACTTTCCTTAAAACTCATATTCTTAATGATGAAACTTAGGTTTAAGTTTAAAAATTGATGTGAAATCGAACAATATATTGTGATTTCAACTGTGAAATAATTTATCTATACTTTAAGGTAAAAACATTTGGGGTCACAGCAATTGCTCAAAATGACAGCTTTCTTTTACAAGTACCAAATAAGAGGTTTTTTTTTTTTCTGCTTTTAAATCTTCTCTGTGACGGCTCTCAACTTTGAGTTAATTTACATGATTAGTGTGGAAGATAGGTTTATTTGGTTGAAATAACCAAATAAATAAGAGAATACTTTTTCAAAGTGCAGTCATTTAGCTACGTTTATATCCTGTGGTTGAAAGATTATTGACATGACACTTGGGTCAACCAAAGCTCTTGCTTCAACTTTTAATTTCTAGGCTGTTCATTTCTTTTTTAACTTATTCATTTTTAAATTTGTGTTATGCTCACATGATTTTTTATAGATGAAAAAGAATTAAAACTAAAGCTCTTGGTAAAGTTTGTAAAGTTACCAAAGCCACAAGAGCTATAAACTGAGCTGGAGCAGCTGATCTGAAAGTCCCTGTGAGTGGTGCCCTACCTTCGGTCTGGACTGGAAATGCAGACAATTTGTTTCACACCGTCTCTCTTGAGTATGAATGAATGAATCTGCAACATTGCTTTTTGGTTATTAGTCTTATTGCCATCCATTCTGTCAGGGTTTATCTTTGGCCATGGAAAAAGTTTTCCCCTTTCTTGAGATATTTAAAATTATACTCTAATAGATTAAAAAACACAATAAAAACGCTAGTAAGAAACCGGTATTTTAAAGTGATAATAGTAAATACTAATTATGAGATGGATTTGGGTGCTGGGAAGAAGGAAACTGATTGCTCAAATCCATTTAACAAGTTGGGTTAACAATTTATATATTTAAAAAATTTAATAAAAGAAACCTTATAGTAATTTAAAAATATTGATTTAGAAGTAACTAGCTATATTTTCTGTATTGGTTTTATACTGTACATACTGCTTATTGATGCTATTGAGGTAGGAACATTATTGAATTCTTGGCCAAGGCCAGTTGGCTTGTAGGATGCTTGTACCAATTTGGTAAGAGATTCCAGATGGCATTTAATTTGAGTGATTAAATCTATAGCATTTACCTTCATAAGCACATTAATCTTCCTGAGAGTTGTACAGATTTCCTTGGGAACCTCACTGTTACAATTGAGGGAAATTTTAGTGAGTTATCAGAGCTTTTGGAGGCAAATGAACCCGGAAGTTCATGGTTTTGTTCCTTGCTAGCTGAGTTACATTAGCAACTTAAGCCTTTTAGCTTCAGTTTCCTTGGCATAATATAGGCATAATAACAGATACTTTTAAAGGTCAATGTAAGAGTTTAAAGAAAAAAAATACACACACACACACACACACACACACACATATATATATATATATATATATATATATATATATGTATATATATTTAATAGCAAGCTAATTCAGTGTCTGTCAAGAGTAGCATTACATCTGTTGTTACTGGTATTATTTAGGGATCAGATCAGACTTTACTTATTGCCTATTTCACCATACTGATTTAACCATACGGATTGCCTATTTAAACCATAAGTTATGCTAGACACTTTGTTTCATAGATATTTTTATAATTCTTAGGTAACTGTAAAATTCTATTAGAAGATTTGAAGTCCTTATTAGAAGTTTAGTCTTTTAAAAATAATTCAGCTATGAAATTCCAGACAGAAAAACTAATTATTTTATCTGTTTTACTGTAAAACTGAAAACAAAAGCCATATAAATCTTTAGAACATGTAAAATGTCATGTAGGTTGGTGGGCACTTTTCCATCCTTTTATAGATTTTGCAAAGTAAAGTGCCTTTCTGGCAAAAATATCCTTTAATGTGGAATAGTTTCATAGTATTTTTGGTTTTCTCTCATGGAAAGTGTATTGAGGGTAGAAGGAGTGACAAGGAGGGCAGGAATCTGGCCCTCAGGACTTTTAAAGACTGCAATGGAACCCGGTAACTTAATTCTCTTGTGACCTAACAGTGCACATTTCACCAGGCCTTCAGTGTAAGTGCAGTGATGTTTAAAAGAGAAAATGAAATAATTGTGAATTCTTTCTACCACATACCCAGATAAAAAAAATGCATTTTGTTTCTCCTTTCTAATTTTGGGGGCAGTTCCGAGGCTTGGCATTGCTGGAAACTACTGGCCTTCAAGTTGAAAGTCTGTCTTGATATTAGGATTCAAGTGTCCTTCTAAGAGACTTCAGGTTGTCCTATAATTCATTCCAGAGGTGCTTAGGCCAGTTTGCAAATGTGGATATGACTTCTTTATAGAATTTATTTGTCTCTTTGGTTTTTAGTAATTATCCCTAGTATGTTTCTGTTGCCTATAAATTAAATTGCTTTCCTGGGGTGCTTTTTCTTAGAGCTTTCCTTGGTTGCTCCCCCTGCTGCTTTTTGATTGTCAATACACAGCATGGACTAGCACTTTCTGGGACTGCTGATATATTTGATGGGCAGGAGGTCTCCTGGAAGGAATATGATATGTTCATAGAAGTGGCTCATCTTAAGGTATTTCTGCACTGCATAAGTAAAAGATAACTCAGAATAGAAATCAGTGTTGAATTTTTGCTAAGAAGGAACTCAAGTTAATTGAAAAAGACATTTTTAATTTATGGAACATTATAGCAACATTTGTTTTCTACATTAAAATATTAAATTTAGAAAAAAGAATCGCTGAGAGTTAATTGAGGAACCTAAAGAAAAACTCTAAATTTTAAAAAAAGTCATGTTTAACAACTTTTTGTTGTTTTCTTGAACTTGATATGTGCTCCTTCATCCATTTAATAAAGGTAGATTTTAGGAAAGACTTTTGTAACTTACATATAGCTTCTTAAAGTGAATACAAAAGAATTGAGAAATCCTGTCTTTATAAAAAATGTTCTTTTTATAAAGTAATAAGAGAAAGAAGGAAGCACTTTTAATGGGTATTTTTGTTTTATTGAATATTAAGTTAGTTGACTTTAATTCAGCAAGACACTAAGGTTAAAAGGAAAAAAAAAGTTATCTCTGTTGCCATCTACTCAGTTCTAGTGACAGTAAGCTTAAATATCCCTAACACTCAAATTATCAAAAATTCCTCATTTTTATGACTCAAGAAATTAATCATTGCTGGAAAAATTGCTTTCATTTATTACATGTTGATTTGATTCATGGGAAATGGTAGCTCCAACTGAGAACATTATGAACTCTTCACTTTTTAAAAATATATATATTTAAAACATGAGGCTTAACTAAGATAAAATAG